TTTTATTTTGCCTGGAAATGAATACAACTCCACCAGGTTTGAAATGAAGTTTCAGAACCTAATGGAACGTACTACTTCATGCAAACGCATTTTTAAAACATGTACATCGAAGTATACTATACTTGAGTCTTAAAATAAAATAAAAGTTAAATAATCTATAATATTACTATATCAGAGGTATAGATTATTAAAAGTATTGAACAAATCTAACTATTTAAATAGTCTACTTCATTAAAATACTACGTTTCATCGCTGGAATCGTTGGTTGCGAACGCAGAGCACAGTTTTGTAGTTGGGCCTTCAAGCTTCTGCAAGCAGAATATGTGATCGAAGATGAAGAGATTAAAAAAACTGCGTTAAAATCGACCCAATGGAAAATTTCTTTGCATTCGACTCGCCCAAACGGACAGTAGGCGAAATGGACTAAAATTAGGAACCTTTTCCCTTCGAAATCAGTTTGTTGTGAACCAATCAGAATCACTGAAAATGGAATTTAAGTGACCAATAAGACTTGTGAAAGCAGAGCACACTGTTGTGGTGGGCTACTTCGTCCAAGTCCCGCCATGACACAGGTGGTCCTCAACCGAGGCCACCGTATGCCGACCCTTGGCGAACCGACATACTGTTCGGATAACAACGTCCAGTATTGCAATGGACTGATAATTGAGGATAATTCGCACCCGCAAAAAGCCCAACTCCAGCCAGTAACACCAACATTCGACCAGACAGCTATCTCCTGAGTAGAAACCCGCGTCAATTTCGACAATGAGGTATGCTTATCACCAGGAATGGCACGCAATGATACGCAACATGCATGATATGTACAAAGTTATCCTTATCACCAGGAGTGGCATCAACTGTAGTTTCTCGTGAACTAGTAAACGGAGTACGGTGATTACAGACATAATAGGAATCTACCAGCTTGACAGGACCCGCGCTATTGACCTTGGTAATGCTGCGGTCATTTACGCGGGTCCTGTCGAGTTGTAGTCGATGGCGTGGGTCCTGCAACATTAACAACACGGCTACCGGCCGCGAAGACATACCCACCAACTGCCGCAAGACTCTTGCCAACGCGGCAAGCCATGCAACTTCGACCGGCACAAGACAGACACCACCAACCACGGCAGGATCGGGCTCGGACCGGCCAAACAAGCAACCGGCCGCATTCGCCTGCGGTCGATGCTGCCGCCTAAACTTGCCACAGTATCATCGACCGCAGGCGAATGCGCTATCGGCCGCAACCGACCTACGCTGCAATAGTCATCACCACAAGTCATAAATTATTGACTGCGGCATGCATACCGTGCCAGGGCCGCCACAACTGTACCTCGACCTACTGTATGATCACCGACCTGGATGTACTGAACCGGATACAGTGTACTGGTGGAGGAAGCCTAAGCGACGTACTCGTCGACGTAATGCATGTGGGTGTCAACTACGTCGCCTTGCACTTTCGTTTGACGTAATGCATGTATGCCATAAGTAAATTTTCATTCATTGGACCGGATAAACCGAGCTGCATTTATCATCAATGCTCGGTTTCTCGGGTCGAAGGCTGACACGGTTGAGTGTGCTTGGTACCGGTGGAACAGCGCCGAGTAGCCTTTCCTGACGTCGTATACGATCACGGTCATGACCTCCTTCGAGATGAGACGAGGGTGCTGGTGTTGTGGGGGTGCCATACCACACCATCGACTCGACGTCTGTAACGACGTCACTCCAGTGGCGTCATAGGGTTATCGACCAATCAGAACAGACGTCACTGTTGACGTCAGTTTACGACCAAGCTCGATTGGCGTGCGGCGTGCTCGGCCATGGACACCAGAAGTTCCTTCTGCAGAGCGCACGTATATATAGCATTAGATATAGTATAGTCACAGTAGTCATGCATGTAGATGTAGATAACGCCAATCAATCAGTTTTACAATTTCCTCTGCGTTATCAACTCCCTACAACGTCTGTCGAGAGCGAGAAATTGGAGAACGCTTGCAGCGCGGCCGTCCAGCACGACGAGGCTGCCATCGAACGACGCGCTGGTGAGGATTATCGTTATGTCCAGGTTCCACTTGACGCTCTGCACATTGTCCGTGTGATGGGCAATCATCAAAGCCAGCAGCAAGTTATGCGTTGCATAGTGTACATGCACCGCATATCTTGCTGCTGGCTTTGATGATTGACAGTAATACAGTTGTGAATCCCCAAACCCCCAATGCTGATAGCTGTGGTGAAATTACTCTTGTGGATGCCAAGCATTTGCTGGAACATTGCGCATAACTCAACTACCGATATAATTGCTGTTTATTGTTAGATCATTCGGTGAATCTTTGTCATTACAGGTACCTGGTATGGCAGTCAGTCATAAAGCAAACATAACTGCATTCACGACACTAGTAGGTCGTTCTACAATTACGTATTTAACGATAACTATAGTGCTTCTTTTTCATTTATGTAAACTACTGTACTTGAACCAACAGAACAATCTGAATGCGGTAATTGTGAAAGAGCAGGGAAGCATAACTGCAAGTACTAAATGTGACCATTGAATACCTATTCAGTCACTTAAGTACTTAGTACATACACGCTCACTGATTATAGGAAATGCTGTAGCAAGGTTAGTTAACGTAACATGTAGCATTAAGTCGATGCTAAGTTGATGGACGAGTACGCAGCACACTATAGGAACTCGTACGCAGCCAATATCTGCGCGCCGATTGCGAGCTCCAGTGAAAGGCATGGGGATAGTGAACATACGAGGGGGTGATATAGTAATGAGCTTACTGTAGACACAACTTGTATTATGCATAAGTCGACAACACCTAGTAATCCAACCTTGATAGTACTAGTATGTCTTATATCTCATGACTCATCGAGCTCTTGAATAAGCCACAGTGAAATTGTTCTACCCGTTTTAAGAGTTTGTATGATCAATTGTCACTGTAACTATATTTGCATTCAGGCTGCATAAACTAGTGAAGGGTTAAATGGATAAGTGTGCATTGGAACTTGCTTTGAGTAGTGTAGTGTAATACTCAAGTACAAGGTTGGACGCATGCTGAAGTACGAAGAGGGTGTTTGATTGTATGAAGAACTACCAGGACAGAGAGCTAGTGTCACGGGGTGGGATTCGGACGTTCCGGATCTCCCGATCAGAGTCCGGATCTCAGGGACCTAGATTACCTATTAGTCTACCTCTTCTCCTGAGCTAAATCTACTAACGTTAACTCGACTTTACTTTTGCGTCGAACCTCACACTTGGAGCGTGTTCTCTCTGCTTGCCTGCGCCGTGCCTGCCCGTCAAAATGTCGCTAAACCCCG